TGCACCGGACCAGGTAACCGGCGATGTACCGGTGAGAGTTGGGGACCAGTTGGCACGGGAGAAGGTCCACCACGTTGAGGAATTCGATCAACAACGGGTGGAGTGGGAAGCGCATCCCCTTCTTCAAAGACGCCAGATGGACCGTGAAGAACCCCGACGGTGCGTCTAGAGCAGTTTGAGTACTGGTGGGTCTCATGACCTCGATGGAGGGTCCAACCATGTCAGTGGCATCGGCGAACCCCCGGTCAGTAATTTGACAATGGCACAACGCCATGATGTTTTCGTCCAATTCAACCCTTGAGCACTCACCTACCGGAGTTGAGGAAGGGTATTGCTTCCTCAATCGACGCCGTTTGTGGCCAGGCACGGCCGACGGCGACGACCGGGGTGATGGAGTGTGGCCGGGGTTACGGTCAGAGGCCGATTGGCCGGCTTGGCGAGAATTGGGCGATGGGGTAGCCGAATCGGAATCCGAGACAATCATGGCGGCGAGAGAAGGAACTGACCTGGACAGGAAAAAGAACGAGTCGGGTGAGCAGCGGAGTTGCAGACGAACGGTAGTGAAGAAGGCGAAAGGAAGAGATGGCGTCCAGCGGCGGTTTTTAACTAACAACAGGAAGGCGAATCGGCAGGCCATGATTACTTAATTGTGGAGATCGTGCCCAAGTGTCGTGCGGAACCCAAGGAACGGCCCGGATCCCCGCTGGAGCGTCCACGTGGACTTTGCAAACTCCCCACTCCTCCGCTTGGCCCAGCTGAGGACTGAGGAGTTGGGGGGCTTATGATGGGCCGATATCCAGAGGACGACCCAAATGAACCATTTAAACAGCTTCGGGTCAAGCACCTGTGGAATACTCAAGCTGGGCCGGCCCAAGGGGCTGGGCCTAGTTAACCTCAGGCCAAGCGCAGCTGGCAGAGTCAGTTCGGAGAAGGAGACGGAGCTGATTGGCCGTTACGGAGCCGGAAAAAGGGGATCGCGCCCTTGGACGGGCTAAACTCCATCGGTTACGCTTCACCTTAATTGTTGAGAGCTCGTGTATAAATAAAAGGGACCCGAAAGGGGAGAACTCAAGCAAAATCAAGCTAGTAATACACATCCAATTCTCGAATTCTTGTTCTTAATTTTGTTCTTGCGATCCGCTCTGTAAATCGGATCACTTGGTGGATTTATTGTCCATCAGTTTTAATGCTGATTTTGTGTCCTTTGAAGTGCTTATTTGCTTGAATATGAACTCTAATCTCAATATAAAGCACATGGGCTGATTCTAGAAGCATAACATGAAGTTCATATGTTGATTTTGATGCATTATGTATGTAATTTGCAAAAAACCTGATCTGATTTGCATTCTTTTTAAAAAATCAGCAACTTTTTTCTTGATTTATAATCTTATTTTTGTATTCCTAGAGTCTCATTAGCAACTTTTTGATGCATTATGTTTTGAATATATGGAGTTTTTGAAGTATTTTTTGCTTATTTATTTCTTCCAATTTTGTATTTTTTCTCTTGTACTTGTTGATAGGTGGAAGCAAAAAACAAATTTGAAGACTAAAAATTTCTTCCACGAATATTTATTCTTAAATGCTAAAAAAATTGGTTTTAGCCATTTTTTGCAGAATTTAAGTTCAAATGACAAAAAGGGAAGGAAGACTTGATGCCCCTTTTTCAAATAATGCAAAGGATCATGTTCATGGGGTCAAAGACTACGAGCAAAAAACGAGGAAGCTTATGTTGTATTTCCAAACATTGCTCTACGAGCAATTCTACCAGCAGTGCAATCGAGTGAAAAATGATAGTCTAGAATAAAGTTTCTTAATTAGTAAACAATAAAAGAGTTTGCAGTTGTATGATGTATGTCAAGTATTTTTATGACATTTAAACAATTTTGCAATGACTCATTGGAATGCATACATTATTAATAAAAATATTTATTATTATACTTGTGTAATGTTGTTGTGATACTCTAAGTGATTGTATATGTTGAATTAATGGTTGGTGCTTTGTTTTGGTTGAGAAATAAGTAAAATTAGTGATTTATTGCAATTTATTTTTACCAAATCTGCTAGGGAATTTATGTTGCAGATCTGCCATGGATAATTTTGTGGTAGATTCTGTGGCAAATCTGCCACGAAATTTCTTTCCGTTGCTGAAAATATATGGTACAAAAGATGGAAATTTTCGTTGCAGATTCGTGGCAGATTCGAAATTTGCCACAATTTTTCTGCCACAGATTAGTTTTGTTGCAGATCTGTAGCAAAATCAAAATCTGCCACGAAATTTCCATTTTTGCCACGGAATTTGTCCGTGGCAGAATCAACTGATTCTTGTAGTGTAGGGTATGAAAAAGTAAGGGTAAAAGTGATTTTTTAATAGAAAGTGGAAGTGTTTGGTTGGAAGTGAAAAAAATGAAAGAAGAAGTATTTTTGAGAACAGGAGTATTATAAAAATAAACTTTTTAAAAAGTGTGTTTCAAAATAACTATTAATATTAGATTTGTATGAAAATTCAATGTATTTTTTCTACAGTCTACCGGCAAAGTTAAAAAAACTTGATCACAAAAGTCAAAATGAAAAGTTAATTTTTAGATGGATGGAGTATCATTCATTATTCCATTTGTCATTTTCTAATTATAAAAACCATTTCAACACGGTTATGAAGTTGTCGATTCTGATTCTGATATGGGTCAAAACAAGTGTGTTCACCCCTGTAAAAAATTCTCAAACATTGTTTATTGTTTTAAAATCACATTTGTGACATATTCTTTATCCCGTTCTCTTCGTCTTTTGCATTGCTCTTCTTTAGAAGTCCAGGAATTATCTTCTTACCTCGAAGATAAAGATCCTAAAAATGTGTACCAAACAAAAGCAAGTTGGAGCTTTTATGGTTGGATTTGGCGTGAGGTGGATAAAATTTACACTTGGTTCGGATAAAATTGAAAAATTTAAACTAAATAAACGGACGGCGATGGAGGAATATTTACCTGGACGAAAGAACTAGGGAGGGATCTTCTTCGAGAACGGGAATCGAGGGATCTTCGTCGAGGAACTGAGGGAGTCGGCGTTGTGCGTCAAAGAGACGGACGAAAATTAAGGAAACGGAGGTAATACTCTTTTGATTTAATGATGGGTGTATATGAGCCATTGGATTAGAAATTAGATGAGACGAATGGATAGGATTAATAGTGGCCACTAATCTCCAATGGCAGCAGAACCCTCCCGTATTTTATTTACTAAAAATTACTCCGTACTTTAAATCAACTAGTGTCCTACTGCAGTTATTGATGTTTGACTGTCAATTAAATTTATTTGGAATTTTGCATGGAATTAAAAAATAAGATTTATATAATTAAAAGAATTGTTAAAAGTTTTGACCTTCTAAAAACTATTTTATTGGCTTTGACATTTAAATTTAGTACATTTTTAATAAAACGGGATAAATTAATCATGTACGAAGTGTTTAATAATTTAAAATATGAATAAATAACCCAAATGAAATGTAGAGACTAAAAATTTATAAATTTAATTTTAAAGGAAAAAATACTTGAATTACTATAGAGGACTATTTGAAAAAAATAATTTCAAACAATAAATTTACAAGGATAATTTGAATAAATAATATTTTAGATGAACCAAAAGTAAAATTACTAATTTTACAGGGATAAAAAAATATATTTAACGAATACAAGGTGAAATACAGAGTCTATATTTATTTAAAAATAAAGATATTGATGATAAAATTGTTACATCCAAGAGTGAAATGGAGGATCAAATTGTTGCATTAAAATTGTATAAGTCATACGTCTAATGTTTATGAATGTTATTCACTTCATTATAAGAGATTATGTCTTTATACTATTCTCAATCTAATGACACACAAAGAATCAATGTTTTTGTCTCCGCTGAAGCTCGAACATGAGTGAATTTCTTCATGAATTCCGAGAAGTGGACTTGATACCGCTAAAGTTAGAGGAGAAATTCGTCATATGTCTAATATAGTTACTCTCAACATAATTGTGAAGATGAATCTTACTCCTTCCTTGTATACTCCGCCTGGTGGCATTAAAAGAGTCAAATGGAAAGCTATGTGTACCCCGACATTTATACCTCAATTTGTACATCGCAGGTTTGCACTAACATTTTGTTTTGGTGTAAAACTAATTTTTATTAACGCACCAACATTTGTGTCCGTGTAAATTTTTGTTACCGCACAAACACTTGTATCGTGTAAACCATCAAAATGCTTATACAAAACTATGGTGTACAAGTGGAGTACATTTTTTTGGTGTGAGTGTAGGATGGTCATGGAAGAAGTATGAAACATGCACAAAATCCGTGTTTTAAGGGCTAAAGACAAAAACAACCTTCGTCACGTCGACAAACGTATCCATGAAGAAACCCCAAAATAGTAAACTCTCATCATCATCGTCTTCTTCTTCTTCTGCTCATAAGCTTCAATCCATCTGCTACTGATCACTCATTTCTCCAAGAAAAAGAAAACTCTGTTCAGACAGGTCGGAATCGGGGAACCCGGTGACGAATTTCAGTTTCTTGGGCGTTTTTTTTTTTACTTCAGTCGGAGGTTGAAGAACTCCGAGGATGTTTCAGGACGAGGGATCGTCGTCCTCCGTGACCTCCTCCTCCCCTCTGCAAGCTTTTCAGATGGCGGCGCCGCCGCCGCCGGACCCATGGCCGAAGGAGTTGAAATCGGAGGAGAGGGGTCTGTATCTGATCCACCTCTTGCTCACCTGCGCCGGCCACGTCGCCGCCGGCAGCGTGGAGAGCGCCAACGCGGTACTCGAACAGATCTCCGACCTCGCCTCCCCCTGCGGCGACACCATGCAGCGCATCGCGTGTTACTTCGCCGGAGCACTCGCCGACAGGGTGCTCCGGCATCTTCCCGGCGTTCACAGAGCCCTCCGCGCCACCGATCTGGTCTCGCCGGCGGAGTATTTTCTTGCACGGAAGGTGTTCGACGAATTGTTCCCGTTCTCGAAAGTGTCTTTCCTTGTGGCTAACCAAGCCATATTGGAGGCCATGGAAGGGGAGAAAATGGTCCACATAATAGATTTCAACACGGCTGACCCAGCCCCGTGGCGGGCCATTCTTCGGGACTTCAGTACTAGGCCTGAAGGCCCGCCACATCTCCGCCTGACGGGGGTCCACCCCGTCAGAGATGTGGTCGAACAAACGGGCCGGGTCTTGGTCGATGAGGCAGAAAAGCTAGATATCCCTTTCCAGTTCAATTCCATAGTTACCAAATTTGAGAATCTAGATTTGGATAGAGTTCGGGTCAAGACAGGGGAAGCTTTAGTAATTTCTTCCGTTTTACAATTCCACACCTTACTGGCCCCCCACGAGAACATTATCCCGTCCGACCAAGCCACATTGGGCGAACCGACCGAAAAGGATTCGGAGAACTCGACTTCGTCTGCTTTAACATTCAGCTCGATCAATGAGATCAAACCCTTCCTCAACTACCTCTCCGGCTTATCACCAAAAGTAATGGTGATCACCGAACAAGAGAGTGACCATAACGGGCCGAGCCTAATGGAGAGGCTATCGGAGTCCCTGTACTTCTACGCCACCTTGTTTGATTGCATAGAGTCCACCCTGCCCAGATCATCGTTGGATCGGGCAAGGCTCGAGAACATGGTCTTAGGAGAGGAGATCAGTAACATTATCGCTGAAGAAGGGGTCGAGAGGAAGGAAAGGCACGAGAAGCTCCCCAAGTGGTTTAGGCGGTTCGAGTCCACCGGGTTTTACAACGTGCCTTTGAGTTACTACGCAATGACACGGGGGAAGAGGTTCTTGGAGAGCGTTGGGCGCGACGGGTATAAGATGAAGGAAGAGAACGGGTGCGCGGTTATATGTTGGCATGATCGACCTCTCTACTCGGTGTCTGCGTGGAGATGCGGGAGGTGAAGGCCGGGTTCCAACGGCGATACAACGTAAGGATTATGCCTAGGGTCGCTCCAAGTGTGATCTCAACTCTCACTCCATTCTTCTCATTTGCAATCTTTTCATTTTGTTGTTTGGTGTGTGTTTGAAAATAAAAGCATGAAATCTTCCAAATGTTACATTGCTTTGAACTTGTGTTTGAAAAATGATGTAAACTTCAATTTTAGCCCTTGGCGTGAAGAGTATGGAATTAGGTAAATGAAATTTGGTGGTACCAAATTAATTCGATAAGACGATCTAATGATTTGCCAAACATATTGAGTATGTTTTTTTTATTAATTTCGACGTTTATTTTAGCAATTGGTATCAGAATTTAACAGTAATATCACTTGTAATTTTCAATCTAATCTGTATAGGATTGCACACGTATATTTCATTGCACCTAATAATTTTTATTTTTATTGATTTTAAATAATTTTTACATTGGTCTATAGATTTTTAAAACTAATTTATAGAATTAGTCTCTCCGTCCAAAATTAAATTCCTTGTTTATTATTCACATGGTCAAATTTCATACATTTTCTTTTTATTTTTCGATAGTCATTTGATAAAACAAAATAGTTATATCACCACTAGTTTTGAAGATCTTTTGTTGAAGTATTTTAATATATATATTTTATTTTTTAGATCAACACCATTTTTCATATAAAGTGACTTGAAAATAATTTTAATTAACATTATAAACCAAAACAGACAATATAAATTAAGACAGAAGGAGTATTAATTAGTTTGAGTTGATTAGTTAAGAAATTTAAAAATACCCTTATACTCAATAATTTTTACATTGGCTTGTAGATTTGCACTTTATATTTACAATTAATTTTCACAACACAATGTTATTTAAATACGTAGTATTTACACCTCATATTTTCTTAAGATCAATTATTAAAAAAAATGAAATATTTCAATACTTTTAAGAATTATTTTATAATATGAGTTCAAATTATTCGTTTAACAATGGTTGTACTTAGTTGGCAAATTATCGTATACACTATATACACTTTCATTTATTTTGTAATAAGAAAAATATGAAATGAGTAAAATTTGATATGACACTGATGTGTAAAAAGAAGACTAAAAAAGTACACACACACCCTCTACCCTTAAAATGACATTCTCACATTTGATAACACAACAGATATGGGCTAATTCCACCTCAAGTTTTTTACATTGAAGTGTAGAAAGAAAAGCAGGGCAATGAGAATATTAAGAGTTCCAAAAGTTTTAGGGGCTGTTTGTTTCAGCCTCTTAATGGTTCAGATGTCTGAATGATTCAGCACTTAATGGTTCAGACTGTTTGTTTCAGCCTCTTAATGGTTCAGATGTCTGAATGGTTAAGAGATTTGCCTCTGAATGGTTAAGTATTATACAGAGTCTGAATGGTTAAGAGCTCTTATCTGAATTGATCAGACATTTGCCTCTGAATAGTTAAACAATATACTAGCTCTTAATGGTTCAGATCTCTTACTGGTTCAGCACTTAATGG